ATGATTTCAGCACGTTGTTCGGCTAGTGGTAGTCGAGATTCCTCAAACGCTGCTCAGCAGGGTGCACCAAAGTTAGGCACAGGTAGTGATATTGCAGTTTGCCGTAAGGCCAATCCCTGCCCTGAGGATGACACTCGTTTGTGATTTCCAACGATATACTTCTAAAAAGTGTTTCCTTACACTATGTTAGGCCTATATTGATCCATAATAGTCAAAATTTTACCTCCTAAAGGAAGGATTGTTGTGGATCTAACAGAATCACAAATGCCTAAAGTACGAGGACTCGCTTCGGAGAATCGCATTCATGCCAAAAGACATGCAAGAACCACCGACGACTACGGTTCTCTGAAATTCCTTTCGTTTAAAAAATTCCTAAACTTCATCAAACCAAGGGTGAGATAAAGAAACTGGGATAAGAAGGCAAGATATTTCAATTTATCTCTATACGTCCGAAAACATTGGTCGCTTCAAACTCAAAGTTATACTCATGGACATGTATTTGGTGTATGGTATGATACCACAATGCCCGTATTTGATTGCTGTCCTCAAATACTTGTTTCCGAATATTCGCATACCAAACAAGTAGATCTCACGTAACAGATGCACCAAGGTTGAGATAGAGTTGGGTGGGCATACAGCTATAATGATTAAGTTCTGTTTTTCATTGCATTAATTACTTCATATAGTCATTTACTATTGAAATTAATTTATCACTTTCAGGAATTCTTAATATTACGTGAAAATACAATTAAACTATGAATGGACTGTGATAATTTATACTTTTATGGAGTGTATAGAACTTAAAATTTCAAACGAATTGCCCTGTACATAGACGCCGTCAGAAAGTGTGTAGATATAAAGTCTAGATTTTAAAGATTAAGCAGCAAAAAAAGAGAGTTGGATCGTGTAGTTATGATTGATAAGTACATTGCACTTTGAAATTTAGGCAGCATTTGAAGAGTGAAATTATATAAGTTACGGATCATAAGTAAAGTCCATTTTATGAATGAATGAATGAATGAATGAATGAGTGAGTGAGTGAGTGAGTGAGTGAGTGAGTGAGTGAGTGAATGAATGAATGAATGAATGAATGAATGAATGAATGAATGAATGAATGAATGAATGAATGAATGAATGAATGAAAGCTTTTTGCCTGTTTACAAACTTTAATATTACACAGAGAGTGTCATCAGTAGAAATAGTTAATGATAAATCACGATTTCATTGTATATTTGCAATTGTTTCATTATACAATCAATTATTAATAAATTAATGCCTTCGTAGAATTCATAGAACATAAAATATTCCTAGTATTAACTTCTTCATAAATGCCTGAGGAAAGTGTGTATATACGAAGTCGTTTAGTGCATTTTCATAAGCGATTAAATATTTCTCGACCAAACTTAAACGTGCATTTAAGATTGGCTCAGGCGAATGGACAAAACTCATGCCCGAGCCGCATTATCACCGTTTATTCTCCAAGCAGAGCTGGTCTTAAACGTTAGTTGATAAGACTAACGGTGTTTATAAATGTATTTAAATATGTGTATGGTCCGGAAAATGAACGCTGATAATTCCCTCGCCTGCAGCTCGGGCTTTAGTCGCGTCCATTCCCCTGACCATGTCTTAAAGGCACGTTTTAACGTGCGGTCACATTTATTCCACTTTTAGTATTTTGTGTTGTGGTACTTCTACGACTGAATATTTCAACAGAACTTTTATTTGGATCTTGCGAGAAAGTGTGTAAAAACGAAATTTATATACTTGTAAATTCTTGCTGCTCTCTGTAACATGCTTATGCAAATCGTTATGACTGAACATGTGGAGAAGGCCAAACAATGTTAAATATGCAAACATGAGTAAACCATATGCTCTACATGTAATATAAAAATGTGACCAATGATGGCCGAATTGGATAAGCGTCCTGTATATACAAACTACATGCCGGTTCGTATTTTATCAAAACACTTTCATAGTTAATAGTTTATTGATGTGCACAAGAACAATTTTCATTAAGTGTCACACAGCTCATGCTAATAGTTTTGGAAAAGTCAAAATTGCAATGAAAACGGCATCAGCCCTGTACATATCTCTAACCACTGGCACTCATACCGCACCCACATACCACGTTGAACTGCGCAATGAACCTCCTTAGCCTGGGTAGAGGGACCGGCCTCTTTTGGCGAGTCCATTGAGTTAATTAACGTTTAATTTTTTTTCGCCCAAATACAACAACTATTTATCATATCCTACCCCTGTACATGCTGAAAAACCTGGTTTAGTCACTTTACAGCCAGGGCCTCCCCTAGCCAGACAAAATCCAGCCGGCCTCCAGCCAGCATCCAGCCAACTCCCATAGAATTGTGCTAAGTGGCCCCTTGTGTACAATCTAATGGATTGTTAATAAAACGATGCCTGGGGCAGACAGTGGAAATTTTTTTTATCATTGACAGCTGTCTGGAACTTGTCAGAGGCCTCTTTCGGTGGTCTTTGAAGTGTTATTTTGATTGGGGGTGTTGTGGTGGTGGTGTGGCCTGGCTGGCGCGTGGCGAGGCCCTCCCGCCTAATCGGGATAGCCTGGGCAAACGGCCGCCACGGTACTGTGATGTACTTTTGGTGGTTTTTAAGAGCTGTAGAGGCTAGGAGACAACCCTGATGTATTTATATACCTTTAGGACGGACTCAGGGCTCTACAACCCTGAGAAATGATACGGACTCACCCGGTAAGGCCGCTCCAGAGACCGTGTAAAAAATCATACAGCGTCGCAGGGTTACATTCTCGGCACATTATTTTGTTTCTAAAGCTTGAAGTCTGGAAAACTGCCACAGAGTTTATACTTGTGGGTAGGAATAGTGTAATTGGGTATACCCACGCTGTAATTGTTGAAATAAAGTTTGCCACAGTAACCACAAAACAATATGCATTTCTGAAGCAATTTCATGAACGTTGCACGTAATAATTTTCGCTACAATGTTTGGTTTATGGTATGGTATTATTTATAAAACCAACTAACTGATGGCTTAAATATATGCTGGCATGTACCTAAACGGGTATGAAGGGACTCCTTAAATAGCGTTGGGGATCGAAGAGACACGGGGACTCGAGACTAAGCACTTTACACTGGGGAATTTAAGACACAGCTGTATATTTATCATTGGTGAGTCTACATCAATCCCATGGATTTCACGTTTTGCTGACATTCTGGCCATACTAATTCAGTTTTGAAGAAACACCTTTTGTGAATGGCCTGCGCGTGCGCTGGACATGCGCTTAACAACAGCATAGTAATAGGCTACATGTATGTCTCATTTCGCCCGTTCTGATCGCAAAGTGAGGCGTCGTCTTTGTTGATGGACTGGTCCCCTTCCCCATTGCATAGGAACCGGTAGCTAGCTGCTGTTTAAAATACGCAAAATACGTTAGCAGCTCCTGCTTGATTTGTGCATTGAGTGGGCACTGTTTCCTCAAGTACATACACCCGGCAGGATCCTGCCGCAGTCATTACCCACTACCTGTCCTACGTTCGGAAGACGTCCGTAAGACGTCTGGAGACTACGTACAGGGCGGCAACCAGTCTATTGAAAAGATTCCAAGGAAACTGGGAATAAGTAATTATCCATTTCATGACAAATCGACATATCATGAATCGTTTTATTTTTAGAATAATAACATTAGAATAATAGTAGTGGGTAAGTTATAATGTATTACACATCCGTAGTTTTTGTTAAGCTGTATTTATTACAGTATAATATTTTTTTCTTCGACAAAGGCTCTCCCGTATGAGAGGCAGGACAGCCTTGGGTCACAAATCACGATATCGGATTGTTTTTCAAAGTGCTGCACATGACCCAACCGACCCCGTACGTGACTTCTCCTAAACCCTTGTGCTGCTACTTTTGGAGCGGGGTTCAATCTTGGGATCACCCAGGCAGTCACTGAAGCCAGCCTGAAACATCGCCTGTCCAATACATTAGCATGTGTTTGCATACACAATCCTCACTGCACATAGTTGGGAAGAAAATACCCCCTCCCCTGTTGTACAAGTGAATCAGGCCAGTGAATTTAGACCAATGAGATGCTGTTTGGATTATCAGCGCGTCTGGAGCTGTATTGCTGACGCCACAACAGATAGTTTGTTGCCCTCTGTCTGACCTTGTTATTATAGGGCTGGCCTAGCCTGGCAGCGCTTAGCTGAAATCACCTGTTGAAACATGTGAGAGCGGTCTGACGCAAGCTGGGTGGGGGAAAGAACAGAATGACCAAACATGAATCGCGTGGTGCCTTTTGCCATCCGTTGGCTGGTGTTGTCTTCAGAAAGAACCGAGAAAATGTCATTTAGGCTTATGGGTCCAAGGTGCTAAGTGCCCCCTCAACCCACGTGCATACGATCCACGCCCCCAAAGGGACTTTTTTCCAAATAAAATGCAATTACAGCCCTGCCTGAGAGAGTTTCCATCGGATTTATTCAGAAAGAATTGGGAAAATGTGATTTGTAAGTCCCGTTTTACATCATCAAAGTTTTTAATCGATACACACATTCTATTCTCATTTATGAAATATCCCATTACTCATATGAAATCTGTAAACCTTCACCCCCCTCTTTTTAAGAAACATATGCTCAATCCACCAACTGTGATGCCGCCCCGCTGCCACTGAGGCATCTGATGAAACTGGCCAGTTAGGCATGCCATGAGGAAACTGGATACACCAAGACTTTCCATCAATACATAACCTTTAGCATTCACCAGACATCCCAGGTCTTTAGCTAGGTGCATCAGATCAAGGCTGAACGATGAAGGTGGAATGGGTTTTTATGTATACCTCTAGTACTTCTGTTAGACCTCCTGAGAGGTGCTGCCCCATCAACATCCATCCCTCCGGGAGGCTTGCCTACTTTTTCACTGCTTAATTCCCGATTTGACACCTTGGAAAAACGTCCATTTATCATGAATAAACAACCATCTTCCGATTCATCGCCAGAATTGCCAGTACTCTCCAAATCTGACTTTGCCAGAGGATCCAACATTAGGTACTTTCGATTTACTGTCTTTTCCGGACCTCCGTTTACTGGGCGGATCCGGTAAACATCCCTTTGCTGATTAACCCACACTACGCTTTTTGGTGCCCTCTCATATTTATCTTG